TCGTGAGACAGGAGGCGAGACGAGCAGGGGGCAGACTCAGGACCAGACCTGGACGCTGCAGCTAACACCTGACCCCACGCAGCTACCTGACCAGACGCACGGACTGGAGGAGACGCAGTGGTCAGTGTGTACAGGCTCGACCCCGGCCGACGAGTAAACGTGGCCAGGTGTCGGCCTGTCCGAGCGTCCGTGCAGTGGGTCACCCGCTGACTCGCAGGAGTGAACTGGTGAACCCCCGCATCGTGTAGGTAAGCACCACTCACCAAGTTTGTAGAGAACGAGGGGAGGTAAAGACCAGACAGGGTGCCAGAGGGGGCCGCCGGACAAGGGAGGACAGTGGAGAAGTGAGCAAGGACAGGACCCCCAGAGGGGTCTGCCAGGGAGACCGCAATTGGCCGACCAAGCGGCGTGAGTGTGGTGCGGTCTCGAAAGAAGGAGCGAGAAGCCCCCGAGTCAAGTGTGAAGGTGTGGGAGGCCGAAATCGACGCAGTACCTGAGAGTGCAGACTCACCAGTACCGGAGGAAGCAGACGCACTAGCACCTAGAGCAGCAGCCTCGCTAGCACCAAGAGCAGCAGCCTCACCAGCACCTAGAGCAGCAAGCTCAATGCCCGGGTCGGGCGGGAAACACCGGTAACAGTCACCCTCCTCACTAATAGACACAGTATACATAGCAGCAAGAATAGCATCAAAGTCAAGGTCAAAGATAGCTACCCCTGCCCTAGACAGCTCGCCCCAGCGAGGGATCTCAGTTGCCTCAGGGAACAGGTGACGCCAAGCGTCCGTCAGGCGGCCAAAGCAGCGCTGGGTGGGGTGCGCACCCCCACACTGCTCACCCGCACGGTCGGCGGTGCGCACGACGTAGGTGCACGGACTAGTACCCCCACCCCGCTGGCGTGCAGCGTACCACTCACGGAGCTGCTGAGGGGACAGGGTCTCCCGACTGCGCTGCTGCTGCTGGCGCTGACCACCACCGGAGCCACTCCTCTACGAAGAGCCACGACCTCCTCCTCCTCCTCCTCCGCCACCGCCTCCTCCACCTCCGCCACTTCCACCACCTCCGCTCCCACCGCCACCGCCGTCGCCGCCTCCGCCTCCACTGCCGCCGCCGACACCTCCACCCACGCCACCACTCCCACCACCACCCCCACATCCTCCATTGCCTCCACCGCCACCTCCACTGCCCCCGCTAGCTCCTCCAGCGCCCCTGCCCCCCTTGCCCTTGCTAGAGCGACGCTTCCCACTAGGGGTAGACGCCGCACCGACCGACTCTAGACCAACGAGGTTGGCCGCAGCAGCAGAGGCAACAGAGGGCAAAAGGGGGGAGGGGGAACACCCCTCAAAGATGGGGGTGCGAGGGTCACCACGAGAGGCTCCTACAGCTACTATGCTCTTTTCCGCTGCTAGGAGGGCCTCCTTGAGGAGGTCAAAGGTGAGAGTGGTCGGGCAAACTGAGAGGAAGTGGTCCCTGACTACGCGAAGGGAGTCAGGGAGACGGGTGACTATGTAGTAGAGGGTGATGTACATGGGGGGGGGGGTTCTTGGCGGAGAACTCAGTAGGAAGCGCAGCGCAGTAGCGAGTGTCACTAGTGCGGAGGTGCGTAATGAGGTCAGCGACTGTGGGAAAGGCAGCAAGGTCAGGGAAGAGGTACGGTAGCATGAGGCGGCTCAGTGCAGCAGTGGCAGGGGAGGAGTAGCGTGCAACTACAGCGTCTTACAAGGTCTGAGCACTCTTGTACTGGCTAAAGTGCGCACGCTCAGAGGTAGGCAGGTGGCGACGCACAGCAAGACGTGTAGCAGCATCGCATGTGGCCCACTGTGAGCGAACAGTGGCGTCAGCATCAGCAGCGGGGGCAGGAGAGGCACCTGAAGTGAGGTCAAAGAGGGAGAGGCCGTCTGCCCTATCGCACCGTAAGAAAAGCTGCAGGTCATCTATCCAGACGTCAAAGTGAATGGGCCGACCCTCAGCGTCAAAAGCGAGGACACTAGGGGTAGCCATGACAGCAGTAGACTAGCAGCGCAAACAGTAGGGTGTGGGCAGTGCTGTGAAAGTGGTGCTGCTCTTACCGGACAGGGTGGCTCGGGCGGTTCGGCTAGAGGGCGACTCGGCGGCTCGGCAGCAGGGCGGCTCCGCGGCTCGGCTGCTGGGCCGCTCGGTTGCTGGGCGGCTCGGCTGCTGAGCGGCTCGGTTGGGGCCGCTGAGAGGGCGGCGTCCGGGGCCGCTGGGAGGAGGCGGCGGGGCCGTTGAGAGGAGGCGGCGGGGCCGCAAAGGTAGGTGGCGGGGCCGCAGGTAGGTGGCGGGGCCGCTAGTAGGTGGCGGGGCCGCAGGTAGGTGGGGGGGCCGCAGGTAGGTGGCGGGGCCGCAGGTAGGCGCCGGGGCCGCACAGGTAGGTGGCGGGGCCGCGGGTAGGTGGCGGGGCCGCAGCAGGTGGCGGGTCCGCTGGTAGGTGGCGGGGCCGCAGGTAGGTGGCGGGGCCAGCAGGTAGGTGGCGGGGCCGCACAGGTAGGTGGCGGGGCCGCGGGTAGGTGGCGGGGCCGCAGGTAGGTGGCGGGGCCGCACAGGTAAGTGGCGGGGCCGCGGGTAGGTGGCGGGGCCGCTGGTAGGTGGCGGGGCCGCAGGTAGGTGGCGGGGCCGCACAGGTAGGTGGCGGGGCCGCGGGTAGGTGGCGGGGCCGCTGGTAGGTGGCGGGGCCGCAGGTAGGTGGCGGGGCCAGCAGGTAGGCGCCGGGGCCGCACAGGTAGGCGTCGAGGCTGCAGGGCGGCGGATCGGGGCCGGGAAGGGCGGCGCGAGGGCCGCAAGGCAGGCGACAGGGCCGCTAGGGCGGCGCGACGGGGCGAGAAAAAAGGGGGAGCGCGACTCGGGCTAGGGCTGAGCGCGCTCCGGGCAGGAAAAGAAAAAATATCGAATTGGTGGGCCCTAGGAACAGTTCCCACGAGGGAACCTGCTTGATACCATGTGAGAATCAAAACGAGAATGAATGAACTATGAATGAATTGGGTTCAAGTACTAACCCTAATTGGGTTGTACCCCTTATGGGCTACCCCACTATAGCCTACACAATTAGCATGAACTATAATGTTCTGACAGGCGGAACGAACGAGGACGAAAGGTGCGGTATCCCACAGGATCCTAACCTAGGTGATACCATGTTAAGAATGAAAGTGTTATGTTATTGATGAGGGTTAGGGTACATATAGCAAACCCTAACATTTGTACCCCCTAAGACAAACCTCACTACAGGCTACAATATTTGACACTGCAGTCTACCCTGAATGATCATTCGCTATTTCCCACTTTGGATTGTAACATAGGCGAAACCCCTAAAAAGGCATATATCCGGGGGGTGACGGCGTGTGTGTCTGATTTGCAGTCCCTTTAGGTTTCTGTTAAAGCTTATATCGATATAATCACATACACGGGACGTTTAATTTTTTTGTATGATATATGTATATGTATAATGCATGCATGCAGTACTAATCATCAATTTTATACGACATCAGCCAACTGCTACTGTATTTCATTTACGCCGGATACTTCTCCTAACAAAGCCCTTTGTAAGAATGCCGTATTGGAAGACCCATGCCAACTCATCCTATCGGCATCTCGAGGCAATTCCCCGTGAAACGGGGAATTGCGATGGGAAGGGGCGGAAAGGTAGGGCATTGTTCCCGAGAAATGAAAGGTACAAATTCAGACTCATTTCACTCATTCGTCATTGGTATCTTCACAAAACGCAAATATGGTTGCAATGAAGCATTTCCTTCTTCCCCTGATTCTCTCACGTGAGTTCTTTGTCTTCATTGCGCTAACCTCAGCTGTAAAGGAAGAACTTGTTCTTACCTCGCATTTTGTTTGGCAGTCTTGTTTGTTTCTGCGCAAGGAGCGGAGGATGGCATTCCATGCCGTCGCTTTCCCCTCAATGTGATGATTCTTAGATTTGGTATTATTTCGACATTATATACCTTCATTGACGCTACCCAATGCGTTTCAGGGATGCGACTTTTACTTCAACGGAAGTCTCAGTACTATTCCCAGTTTCAACATCGGACCAGTTTCAGGAAACAGTATTTTGTCCCATGCTAAGATATTTCACAGGTAACGGCTCTGTGGTGTCTCCGAATGACTTCCAACAATGGCTGACTGAGTTTACCGATCCCAACAGAAACGGCGAGAGGCTCGTCACAGCATCTTCGAACCATTGCGAGTTTTTTAATGACACAGTACGTGTTACTCATTCTCGTACCTCGCATTCGTTCCTTGGAAGGTTCTAACATATTGTGCATCAGGAATTGTGCGGGACGACATTCTTTTTCATGAGCGAGATTGACGACTGGAATAAGGCGGACGTTGTTGGAGCTCATCCAATCCCGTCAGAGGTCATGCAGGTGCGAATGTTGTGGTAGAGAAGCAAATGATGGCTATGTTCTGACATGACATTGCTCTACAGGATTTCACGGGGAAATGCGTGATACTTCGTGTCAGTAACTTCTACCTGAGCAAGAGTGGTTGGATAAACAATGGCGACAGCCGAAAAGGGTTTCCACAGGTGAGCTTGAGTGATGGCGGCGGTTCATCTTGTTCAATACATATCTGGCATCTCATCTTGTATTTGCAGAGCCGACGATGCCTCATTTTCAAGACGGGCAATGGCACAATGTTCACATAAGACTTGCGACTACTGTGAAGAAGTCCTACAACGTGCAAGGACGTTCGAGCTTGTGACCAGCCGGAGGGGAGTAGAGAGTCCAGTGCAAATTGGAGAGATGGAACATCAACTGTGTGGCTTACAGAACGGTTGAAATAGGCGGAATTGTTTGCTTGTTGTGCATATGTAGTCAATCCTATTCATTTTAACAGGCGGTTCAAATTTGTTGTTGGCATATCTTGGGTGGACACGATGCTGGTAACAAATAGTTGAGCATACAGTTGATGATAGTTGATAATAGTTGAGCGTACAGGGTCAGAATGCACCCCAAGAATTGCCTTTCCTGGTGCCATGCCTAACGAGCCACATGCATGGCCTCATACAAGAGAATGCTGGCCTCAGCACCCAGCACCTGCGCCTCCCTCACCTCACTCACATGCTCATCCGACACACTGAACCACCGACTGTCCCCTCCTCGCACCACGGCTGCCACCTTTCCTCTCTCGCTTCTCCCACCTCCACCACCTTTGTCGCCTTCCCCCCCTGTGTTCTTAGCCTCGCCCCTGCACACGCGGCGGAACGCAGAGTAGTGGCCGCTCTGAGGCCCCCCGTGGTGCACCACCACGGCGATTAGGCGGTACCAGCACCCACCACTGCTACTCGCTGCCACCGCTGCACTTGATGCCCGTGCTGAAAGGTGCGAGGGCGTGCACGCGGGTGGGAAGGGCGAGAAGCGGGATGATGGGAGTGGTGCGGCGGCCGCCAAGGGAGGGTGTGCAGTGCTGTGACGAACACAAGTTCCAGTGCTGTCTTGATTGCTGCCCGAGTTTCCCGGTGTTGCCTTCTCAATTTCTCCAACAGATTCAGGAACCTGCATCCTGTTATTGCTGCTGCTGTTGCTATTGCTGCTCCTTTTCATGCTGCTTTTACTGCTGCTGCTGCTGTTGCTATTGCTGTTGCTGTTGCTGCTCCTTTTAATGCTGCTTTTGCTGCTGCTGCTGTTGCTATTGCTACTGCTATTGCTTTTGCTGCTGCCGATGCTTGTTGTGCTAGCGCCTGTGTGCTCGCCATCACTGCAGTGCTGGTGTGTGAGGCTATCATAGGGCCCTGGCACAGCCTCCGGGGGCACAAGGCCATGTGAGGGAACTGGGGACCATGAGGCACCTATGGTGTTGGAAAGGGCTGGGCCACGTGGAGGGGCTGGTGCATGCCCTGGATGGTCACTGGCAGCAGTCACATGTAGCTGTGACGCACATGCCTTCCCGGTCTGCACACTGCTTCCCTGCACATCGCCCTCGCTCCCTGCACCAGCAGCAGCCGTGACTGGCGCCCCACATGTGCTGGTAGCAGCAGAGGCAGCTGGAGCGCACCCTGTTGGGCTTGCCATTCCACCCTCTGCAATCGTGGTGTGCATTACAGCAGCAGCAGGGCGAGCCGGAGGGGTTGCAGTGGAGTGAGAGGCACGGCGAAGTGGAGGAGGGGAGGTGGCCCAGAGGAAGGGGAAGTGCAGCGGTGGGGCGCGGGATGCTTGGCAGTTGTGGGAGAGCGGTGAGGAGGGGACAAATGTTGTGGGGACAGGGCTAGCGTCGGTTATTAAGACATGGGAGAGCACGGATGGTTGGAAAATGAAGGGGAAGGAGGGGTTGGGAGAGACAGAATGGGCTAGGGGTAGAGTGGGTGAGGCTGCCGGAGCAAGGGAGTGCTGGGAGGTGGACAGTGGGTGGAGTGGGGACGCGGGGCGAGAGGTGTATGCTAGAAGAGAGAATGGCGAGAGGTCGAGGAGAAGGGGGAAGGGGATGTGATCCTGTGATGGAAAGGGACGGAATTGGGGAGAGTGGATGGGAGCATATGTGCATGAGTATGCAAGCATCACATGGAAAGGCAGTAAAATTCTTCAATCAGGCATTGGCATAGCCACCCGGAAACACACATGCACGCATGCTGTCGTGCACAACCACAAACGGTATGAACGCATATGCGCACGCACATACGGAAACAAAAAGAGCGAGGAGGCAGAGCAGGTATCAGCATGTGTGCAATACAGAAATCACTGCTCTCGTTGGACTTGACAGGCAGTGGAGCATGAAAGTTCACTCACATGCGCCTTGTGCAGCGCGCCCCAGGGGGAGAACGCCACTCGCTGCACCTGAATGCACGCCACCTGGGAAGTGCCACGCACGTGTGGTGAGAGTTGAGCGATGCGAAAAAAACCAGGGTCCCGAATGCGCATGAGGGAGAGGAGGGGAGAAGGGAGGCTGGCATGGGGCGAATGTGGAGTGTGGTGGCTGAACGCGTGCGTGTGGTAAGCGAGGCAGTGTGGAAGCGGAACAGAGAGGTGCACAACGACAAGCATGTAGGTGCTTTCTTACCTATCCATGCCCATGCCCATGCCCATGCCCCCCATGGGTGCATGTGCCTGGCAAGCTACGCGTAGCGCCAAAGTGCAGCAAGGGTCACCTGTGGCAGGCGTGCGAGCAGCAGGCGCTTGAGCGCAGGGCGCCTCACACACGGCCATGGGCGGGCGGGCAGCAGCGCTCTCACACGGGCGGGGCAGCGACAGGCACTGCTATCAGCGGCCGTGCACGCCTGCAGGACTGCCAGCAGCGCCTGGTAGGAGGGGAGGGGATCAGTGCGGAGGGGAGCAATGAGAGCAGCCATGAGGGGAAAGGTGAGAGGGGGCAAGGATAGAGGGGGACGGGGGTGAGTGAGAAGGATAGAGAGTGCAAAAGGGAAGAATTAGCTGCAAGCTGAAAGCGGAACAGTTAAAAAGCGTCGGAAAGCGTCAGCGCACCGCACAACTCCAGACCGCACCTTCATCTCCTCTTGTTGCCTGCTCGTGTGCTCATAGGACTCTCCGTTCCCCCCATCCTTGAGCTCAACTGGTCTCCCCTCCCCCACTGCTGCAGATGCCACATCCACAGCGCTGCTTGCCGGTGCCACGCCAGCTTCGCACCGCAGCAAAGAGGCAACTGGTGCTCTGGTCCCCTGTGCATGCGCATTGCCATGTGCGTCCCTTGCTGCTTGTCCATGCCCCTCCGGATGCACACCCATCACTGCATTGGCACGTGTGCCAGCATCAGCATCGGCAGTATCGAGGCGTGTTTCCTCATGCCTCTTTTGATCATTCTCCTGCTGCGCCTGCAGTGCCATCGCAGATCTCACCATCCCAGCTGCTGCCACGTGGCAGCATCTGGGGCATGTGACGTCCAACACCTGCTCTGGTGCCGTGTAGCTGTGCAGCAAGGAGGTGAGCGACATGCCGTGCTGTGCGGGGCGGGCGGGCGGGATGGAGGGAGGGAGGGCGGGCGGGAGGGTGGGAGGGAGGGAGGAACAAAGGGAAGGAGGGAGGAAGGAGGTGGCATTTTCTTGACCCCGGCGTGGTATGGATCGGAGCAAGAGTGGGCAACGAGGCGGAGTGGTGCACACGAGTGAGAGAGTAAAGTCAACAGAGACGAAAAGACGCAGCAGGGAGGGAGAGGAGGAGGAGCAAGCATACCAAGGAGGAGGGTGGGAGAGGGAGCGAGATGTCGGTGCACGGCTGCACGCTGCTGGCGAACTGCGCATGGGAGATAGGGCGGGTTGGGAGAGTCGTTGGGGCGTGACATGAGGCGCAGGGGTGCAGTGCAGGAAAGAGGAACAGAGACCACGAGCACTGGTGTGCAATGCGAACAAAGCAGGTAGAGCGCATGGCAGTTCATGCATGCCAGGCACCAATACAACCTGTCAAGTGCATGCCTACCATACAGCCATGCGCTCACCTGGTGACCACATGCAAGGCATGCGAGGAGGCTGACGGTCGTGCCTGAGAGCGGCCACTGCAGCAGCGTGTCACACGCCTGTGCAGTCGCAGCCACGGGCGAGGGGGGCTGCTGAGTGCACGCATGAGAGGAGGCGGCCGCAAGCGAGGGAGGATGCGTGGTGCTGTGGTGCTGCTGAGAGCACGCTGACGGCGTGCTGTTGTGCTCCCTCCGCGCATCTGACTCCTCGACGCAGCTGCACTCACCCCCTTCCCCCTGCTGCCCATCCGTCAGCCTCAATCCCTGCTCCTCCATCCCCCCCTGCCCGCTCGCTGCTTCTCCCCTGCTGCTGCAATCTGCTGCGCCCTGCTGCACTGCTGCGCTGCTAGGCGAGCTGCTGTGACAGTGTTGCCTGCCGTGCCCCATGCCTACCATCGCACCCTTCATCCCTGCTGTATCTGCCTGCTGCACACCGCGCTCTGATCCCGCCTTGCATGTGCCACCATGCCTGCATGCACCCCCCACCCCACATCGCCCTCTCCCCATAATTCCCCCTTGCCCCTCTCCTCCCCCTTGTCTCTCTCCTCCACTGCTCCACGCCTCTCCCCTCACCCCTTTCCACACGCCATGCACGCGCCAGCGCCTCTCACCGCCCTCGCCCTCCCCCTCTCCCCCAGCAGCAGCGGGCTGATTCCCCACCAGGGCGCAGAGGCCAGGCAGGGGCGAGGAGGAGAGGCGCAGGTGGCGGTGCAGAGGGGCGAGGTCGCGCAGCAGGGCGGCCGCCAGCAGGGCCAGCGCCTCCATGCAGTCCTAACGTGGGGTGGGGGAGGGGGGACGGAAGGTCAGATGGGATGGGATCTTGGGAGGCGGAAGTGGGGGAGGTCAGAGGGGAGAGGGGAGTGGGGGGAATGGGAAGCAGGGAAGATGGAAGTAGGGAGGAGCCGAGCAGGAGGAGGGGGAAAAGGATTGCTTGAAGCAGTGGCATGGGGGGAGGGACGCGGATGTCAAGAGACTTGTACTGCACCGGGCGCACATGCACGCAGGGACGGACGCACGCACGCAGGGCACATGCAGGTATGCAAGCACGGGAGGTGGGAGGGCGAGAGAGAAGGTGAGCGGGGGAGGGACACACCTGCTGGTGGTGGAAGTTGAAGCGAGAGTCGTGGGGCGCGAGCGCACGCAGAAACGCACGAGAGCACGCCACCTGGCGCCCTGTGATTGGCTCTGAGAGCGCTGTGAGAGGGAGAGAGTTGAAGACGTGCGATGGGAGTGATGGCACAGGAGAGGCGCACACGGCGCAGCTAAGGCAGCCAAATTTCGATGAAGCAATACAATCCATGGCATGGAGAGGCGACGCGCGGTGATGAGAGGAGAGGTGAGGAGAGGAGAGGAGAGGTTAGGAGAGGTGAGGAGAGGAGAGGTGAGGAGAGGTGAGGAGAGGTGAGGAGAAGTGAGGTGAGGACGGGTGAGGAGAGGTGAGTAGAGGAGAGGAGCGGAGAGGAAAGGCTACCTTGGAGCAGCGAATGAAGAGCGGTGGTGAGAGGCAGGTCCATGGGCGTGGCCGTGGTGGGGAGGTGGCGCGATGATAGCGAGACAGCAGCGTGCAGGACGGCAGGCACTGATGAACTGCTGGCTAGTGACTGGTGCATGCTCACATATGCACATGCACACATGCACGCATGCACACATGCACATGCACGCATGCACACATGCACATGCACACATGCACATGCAACACATGCACATGCACACATGCACGCATGCACACATGCACATGCAACACATGCACATGCACACATGCACATGCAACACATGCACATGCACA